TTTCTTATTTTACTCAAAAAATGAAAGGGGGTGAAAAAAAACACTTTCATTTTCTTTTTTTGATAAACAACAATGATTATGAATAATGTAATATCTATAATGTTCAATAAACAGCTCTTAATGTTATACAATTGACAACCAATTGTAATACTGTCAATTATCGTTTTTATGATTATCCTTGGTTGTGTTCTATTTTTCGAACATGGTGAAAAAAAAGCACTTTCATTTTTTCAGAAACTATATTAACTATATTGAACTATACTTGTTTTTCGAATTACAAAAAAACAATTTTCGATTCAAAATTGAAAATGTTATACATTTTATAAAATCAACACACAAAAATGTTGAGATTGAGAAGAAAACAATTTGTTTTAAAAATACGCTCCTTTGTTATAAATAGTTTTATTTGCTCAAAAACATATTTTCAATATTATTTCAATGATGCGAAGAAATTTGTAACTTTTCTTGAAATACAAAAATAAACCGAACCTTTATTCAATCAACAACCATTTTTACTCAACAACCTTTTTTACCATGACTATAGTAAATATATTACAATTAATTAAAATATATTATAAAATTAAAACCTTTAGGTTAACAACATAGTATATTTCAAATACAAAAAAGTTTTTTACTTACAGATAGTGGAATTAACAGGGACCACAGGAAAAACCAGGGACCAGACTAATTATAACTATTGAATATTAAGCGGATTTTATACAATAAAACGGGCAAAGATATAATCAAATGTGTAATTTTCTTATTATTTGGGCTTAAAAACGGTTATTTTACGGGATGAAAAAAAATGAATGTGTTGTATAAAGTATGAATGAACAACAGCTTTATGTGAGTTATAATAGTAAGTTTATTATTATTAATTATTGTTTTATTATAAAATACTATTCTTTTGTTCAACCTTGTTTAACTTCAACACAACCATTCAATTAAATCGTTCATTCATTTTTTCAAAAAGACGTCATAGTCTTCTCTATTCATTCGTTTGATTTGATGAGTCACTTTTTGTTTAGCATTAAAAGTGACTCATGCGGTTCATGAAAATAAAGTAAATAATAACTAAATTATTAGAATGTTAGACATTCAGCAAATAATTGATGCTTATTAAACGTATCTTACAACAGAAGATAAATCAATATAAAAAACAAACTTTACTTTGGCTCGGCTGGGCATTAACAAATGAGACAACTCTGAATGATTAATTAAGGGTTTCATATTTTTAGTTTTTTTCTATTTTATTTAAAAAACAGTGTGTCTCTTTATACTTGGTCCCTTCTTTTTGAAAATAAACCGACACATCCTCAAAAAACCTGATTATTTGGGGATTTTTCCATAACAAGGAAACTATATACCAAAAATAAAACAGCTTAATTTAGTCTGGTCCCTGGTTTATAATTTATTCCCTGGTTTTTCCTGTATCTGTAATACTTTTAATTTAAAATTTTAAAATAAAACAATTATTTTTAAATTTAAGTAAAAATACAATAAAAATGGCTAAATAACATAGATAAAAAGAGACACAATAGAGTTGTTTTGATTTTTTTAATTTAAAGAACAGACTGCATGATTCTCATAAAGTGTTTTGGGGTTCCAACTTGTGTAAAAGAAAAAATATTTAATGAGTCACAAGCATTGAATATTTTATAAAACCACAAAATAATTCAAAACATTGCATATAAAGATGCAAAATTTTTATTTTTCGACATGTTATTTATAGTATATCGTGCCATTATTTGATCAATAATACGATAATTAAAAATAAAAAATAATATATAAACAAGATTTTGATAGTCCAACTCATCAATTAATTCGAAACAACAACATTCAAAGTTAATCACGAAGTTATCTACCGAAAAAAATCTTCTTATCGACCAAATGGAGTCAGTTACAATATAAGCTTCAATCTAAAGAACTTGTAAATGGTTTCCATATTCATATTAATGGAAACAATGAAAATTGATAATAACCAATTTATACTACAAACAATATTGACAATGTAACTAAAAATGAAAACAAGAATAACAAAAATATTCTTTACGTGTAGTAAGAATAATACAATTGATGTGTTGTGTGCAAATTATATTAAAACGACAAAAAAATAAACATGTTTAATTTACAACACGCATTCGAAGGCGTCACTAACTTGAGGGTAGCAGAAATTATTTGTAAATATTCTTTTCATTGTATCATTATTTAAAGTCAATTAAACGCCTTCCCATTTGGTCATGCAAGCTTTGTTTAAATATTATACACAGGTTGTTTTTTCTTGTTAAACAATTAAAATATTAACCACACAGAATATAAGCACCCAATAATAAACCGGCTTTTGAAGAGTCGGCAAATCATGTAAATGAAAATTTACATGATTTATATTACAATTCAAATCCACAACCAACACGATATCATCACTATGACTCTTCTACATGCAAAAGAGTCTATACACATTTCCGATACATACTCGTGGTAATTATGAATAATATTCAAACAATTTATGAACATTGCTTAAATAGCAAACAATCACAACTTTAAATATCAACGCAATATATTTAAATAAGAGCGTTTATTACAATCGACATTTATAATACCATTATGACTCTTTTATTTAAAAAGAGTGCCTCTATGTTGTGAACGGACTAAAATTATAACGACCATGGATCAACCTTTATTGATGATTCACGTTTAAATAGCATTATATAGTATTCAAATCAACAAAATTCATGGAGGTTTGGGCGCTCAAATTATGAATATAATCTTGAGCGATTCATAACAGTTAAAGAATATGCATTGAAGAAATGAAGAAAAAAAGAAAGAGTTGTTTGATTATTACTGATTGATTACCTTGTTATTTTATTGAATTTAATAAATAATTTTCAAAGATAATTCGATAATAAAGTAATTGGAGAGATGATATTTTATATAAAACTTTTTTAAAAAAAGTTAAAATAATAATTAACTAAATTTCTTGATTTTTGAACCACTTGAATTTCTTTAGTTTGTTATATAAAGTGTTAAAACAAGAAATATAAACATTTCAAACGTATTTTGATTAAAAGTGGTTTAATTTTAAATCAAAAATAACAAAAACATTTGTTTTTAAAACTTTCAGTTCTGTGTTATTATTAAAATGAAAATATAGAAGTGAACCATTTCATAAAAAAATAAATTGAATTACAACAACAATATCAGTAATCCAATTACCAATGCAATGGTTTCCATATAATTAAAATCAACATTATCCCCATCATCAATTCCATTAAATTCAGATATCACAAGTTTATCTCCTTTATCTTGTGGTGCTCTGACCCAAAAAATTCCTCCATTTTGGAGTTTTCTGAAAGAGTCATCTCTATCACCCCAACCTGTAACATCTGTGACAACTTCAAATTTGTTTGTGAGTTGCATATCGCCATTCATAGCTCCCAAGTGATATTCTTTACCTTCTTGATATCCAATTAACAACTTTTTACCATACTTAGCAATGCACCCATTTTGTTTTTTTCTCCATTCTGTTTAATGTTGTCGATTTTGATTCTTTTCTTATCCTTTCCTATTGAAGCAATCAGCATTTCCTAGACTTGACTTCGAGGATTTTCTGTGTTGGTAGACTCCGGTTTAATTGAGTTGAATATTAGAACCCAACCATCTCCATTTTCCTCTATACCACCAAGTTACCCGGCTGTACATCCACCTCTATTGGCCGCATGTTGATAAAGAGTATACTGGTCTGAATTCTCTGCAAAAATACCAAGTCCTGGATATGAATCAAAGTCACAAACATGAATCATTGTTTTGGTCTTATTATTCCAACCCTGTAAACCAGACATCATATGACTGCATCCCCATGGCCACACTTTTTCTACTTCACCGTCGTCTGTCACTGTGAAAAGAGCATCTCCTTCGTGTCCTTGTTTGCTGTCTTCTGTTGGATCGCTGTGGACGTGCGTGTATATGTGGAACTTCCCATCTCCATAATTTACACGACTGTCACCAATTCCATAACCTTTATCTGACTCAGCAAGAACACTTGAAGGGATCCATTGTTGTTGAAGCTCAAGATGTTTGGTGTACACTTCTTTTCCTGTTTCATCAACTTTTCTGAAATAAATCAGTGAAGTGTTTGTGTTCCATAAAAGAACACCATAAGAACCATCGGGCTTGGTGTACAAGCCTCTAACTGAATACTCATTGAAAGTATCTATTCGAAGTATATTGTTTGTATTGGACTGAATCTTAAGTACTGTCCCATTTGTTGGCGTCTGTATACCCAATGTAATAATTAGACAAAGAATCTGATGAAGGATATAGACGAACAGAAAGTTGAGAAATTGTGTAAATACGCCAATTGGATTCACCACCTAAAAGGTTGGCAGGTAAAGTGACTTCATGTGTGGTGATCTTATCTTTTAACGAAGAAGCAAGTACAGGGGCAAAGAGTATTAAGAACATTATAATAGTTTTTGTTTTTCTGAAAGTTTTTATGTGTTTAAATTATTAAAAATTCGTCAAAAAGTTGAAATAATTTTCAATAAATTTATTTTTTTTAATTATTATATTTATTTATTATTATTAAATAAATGTTATAAATTCACTTATAGTAAAATTAACAAACTTTTAAAGTTTCAACGTCTTTATTTTCCGAAAGGTGAATTTTTTTGATAATATTTATTTAGTGACTTTTATTTTCATTGTTTCAATATATCATATAATAATATTATTATTCTAACAACAATACCAAAAATAACTTTTTATTTATAAAAACATTAAAATTTATATTTGAAAATGATTTTATAATTTGAGATGTGATATAATCACTTTATGTAATACGACATAAAGTGATTAAAACCCTAATGCAATCAGTGGGAGTTTTTAACGTGTATGAGGATGTTGATTTTATTAATTATTCGTCTGTTGGTTAACAAAACAATATGAATAAAATAGTGAATACTATTTAAAATATAAACAAAAATGTCGAAACTTCATTTGAGGTTTTTTACTATTATTAAAACTTTAAATTGTTATAAAAATGTGATAAATGAACTTTTATTATCATTCAAATGAACGTTCGACTCGACGTCTTTTCATTTCAGATTGTTTCAAAATATTTCTTTTATAAAGAAGATTACATTAATTCTATTTTGATATGTCACAAGTTTATGTGTATTCTAGACCGTTTTCGTTACAATCCAATACCTGTCAATTCCACAAAACTTTTCCCTTTCATGGAAACTCAACATATTTACACAAAAGAAGATGTTTTTATTGATGATATCGAGCACTACGTTGTGTGGTATTCTGTAACACTTGATGAGTTTCTAAACGATTTACAAGACCGGGACATCACTTTTAAAAACATTGAATTTTCAAACCCAAACAATATCATTCAAACACTCGCGTCCATTTCTCTCATTCCAAATATCAAAAGTTTGGGAAAAGAATTTTTAAAATTTTTTAGAGTTGAGAATTTTCAGGTTCCAAATAATATCACAGAATTAAAGCCACGCTGTTTCAAAGGAAACTCCCTTTCTTCGGTGACATTATGTGATTATATTGAAACCATTCCAATGCTTTGTTTTTCGGAATGTCTTCACCTTATTGAAGTGGTCATACCAACAAGTGTTAAAAGTTATGATATGATGGCGTTTAGCAGTTGTGGGTTGACAGCATTTACAATTCCAGACCATGTCATATACATTGGAGATCGCTGTTTTGAGCGTTGTTTAAATTTAGTTCACATTTCTATTGGACGTGGAATTCAAGTCATTCCGGATTCTGCTTTTTCATTTTGTGAAAATGTGACTTTTATTGATCTTCCAGACACAATCAAAGTTATCAAAAGTTCCGCATTTTTCAATTGCAGAAATTTGGAAAATTTGAAAATACCAAAAAGTGTTTTAAAAGTTGGAAATGCCGCTTTTTGTTCTTGTAAAAGTCTTAAAGAACTCGTTTTCCCGGAGAATTGCGAATTGGTTGCATCGACATTTGTTTTGTGCTCAAATTTGACTAAATTTGTTGTACCAACAATTAACAATAAAGTGAGACACGTCATTTCATTTGAAGAAATTTCCATTTATGAGAAATTTTATGAAAATTTTGAGAGTTCAAATAACTACTATAATTTGTTTGATACAAATAACGAATTTGTTAATGACCAAAAAATAACAGAACTTTCCGTTTTTGAAGATGAAAGTTTTGATAAACTTGGAGATGTTGGTTTTATTCCAGAAAATTATAAAACAGTCAAAAATGTAAGTTTCTTTAATTGTGAACAAATTAAATCTTTTTATTTTTGTGAAAGTGTCACACAATTGAAAAAAGTTGGATTTTATTACTGTACAAATTTGGAGTACGTTGTAATGTCTTCCTCTGTTGAAAAACTTTGTGATTTTATGTTCAACAATTGTATTAATTTGAAATGTATCAAAAATATGAATAATATAAAACATGTTGGAAAAAAGTGCTTTGAAAATTGTGAATCACTTCAAGAGCTTAAAATTAATCAAAATGCAACAATAGGATTTCGTAATTTTGAAAATTGTATTTCGCTCACTAAATTAGAAGTACCAAATTATAAAAATAAAATTTTATTTGATGTGACTTTTAAGGAGATCAATACATTTCAAAAATTTGGGTATGAATGTGACAAAATTGTATTTATTTTTGATAAAAATATGTCAATTTCAGATTTTGAAAAAATCACCGATAAAAACAAATTATATTCATTTGGTGGGGTGTATTCAACACATCAAGATTTAAATGTAAAAATACCAAATAATGTAACACGAATAATGAAAAACTTTTTTGATATTAAAAATCTTGAAAGTCTTGATTTGGGAATTGTAAAAGAATTGGGAAACCAAAGTATTCGATGTGATGTTCATTCTTTAACAATTCCAACAACTCTAACTAAACTTGGAAACAACAATTTTGTTAAATGTAAAAATTTAAGTTCAATCAATTTATGTGGAAAACACTGTTTTACTCTACCACTCAATAAAACAGAGAAAGGAATATTTGAAAAATGTGGAATACACTGTGATTGTACTATTTTCGGAGACAGAGAATTTGAACAATATGGATTTATTCCCAAAAATTTTAAATTTATTAAGTTAGTCTTTGAAAGCAACAAAACATTCCAATTACAAAAATTTGTTGTTCCCAACGAAATTATTTCAATTAAAAAGTCGTGTTTTACACATTGTTATAATTTACAAAATGTCATATTGTCTAATTCTCTCACGGAAATCGCTGATTATGCCTTTGCTGATTGTTTTTCACTCGTTTCCATCACACTTCCACAAACTTTAAAAATTATTGGAAAACATGCTTTCTCTTCATGTGTAAATTTGGTTCAAATTGACATTCCAAAATCAGTAGAGTATATTGGTGATAATGCATTTTCTATTTGTACACAAATAAGTTCCGTCACAACTCCTGATACGGTCTTTTCGAGTAAAAAGGTGTTTAAAAAATGTTATTCACTCTCTTCAATTTCAATTATAGAAAATAAAAAGGAAACGTGTCAGGTGTACAATTCCACGTTTTGTCAATGTACCAAATTAACAGAAATTTTTTTCCCAAAATGTGTTACTGAAATCTGTTCAAATGGGTGTTGTGAATTACTTTTTCTTCAAGAATTAAGTCTTCCTGAAAGGTTAATCAAAATTGGGAAATCTGCATTTGAAAATTGTACATCTTTAAGTAGAATACATTTGGGAGAAAAACTTGAAGAAATTGGAGCATTTTGTTTTTGTAATTGTGTTTCACTTCAAACTATAGAAATACCAAAATCAGTAACTTTACTTGGGTTTTGTTCATTCAAAGATTGTAATAATTTAAAACAGGTTGAAATACACAACAATATACAAAAATGCTCACAAAACGCATTTGAAGGTTGCAAAAATATCACAGAAGTATTATTTGATAACAAAACAATCACACAAATCAAAATTCCTGTGACTTATGAAATTTATTTAAATTTTAAAAAGAACAAAATACAGTGCACAGATGTTTTCTTTACGCGCAAAGACGTTAAAAGGCACTTAGAATTTATCAAAAAAGATGAAAAGTTAATTGGTAAAGTTCCTGACAATGTTGTTGGTCTCTCAGACAATTGTTTCAGGGGCTATAAAACTACTCAATTGCTTGAAATACCTAAAAATGTGAAAAGTTTTGGAGCTTTTTGTTTTTACAATTCGGTGCCCAAAGAAAACGTGTTATTTGAAAATAAAATGGATAGCATTTTCGATACAAATAACCACAATTTTAATTGAATTGTTAATTACACTTTCTTCACTTTTCGATTAAATGTACAAAAACCTTAAATTAGAAAATATTTCAATTCAAAAAACGAATATAAAAATAGTAAACCCAATGCTTTATCTGTGTAACATTAATAATTGTTTTATGTTTCTACGTTTTAGAAAATATTTCATTCGAGACAGATAACGATATTTTCTTTTTGTATTTTTGTATTATCTTAAACTGATTCAATAAACGACTACAATAACTAATTCTGAATTATTTAATATACCCATCAATTCAACTTATTGTTCTATGACATACGATTATATTATTTGAAAATTGTAAATTGTTTCAATATAATACAGTTTTGTAAAAATAAACAAGAATGGATGATATTATTAGTTATATAAAGTTATCAAGTGGACAAAAAACAATTAAAATGTTATAAATTAGTTTTCAGTAAAATGTAAATAAAACTGAAACGATTGTTATAATTTGGAATTATTTACTATAACAATGCATTTGTAAAGTCTAAAAATATAAGATAACGCCAAAAGACCAACAATATATACAACCATATTCACTAATTGAATCGATTATATTTATTAGTATTATACTAAATTAATAAATCATTTAAATTGCACGTATAAAACTTTCATATAATTTAGATTGTTCAAAAATGATAATTTTTTAGCTTAAAAATCTTTATGAATTTAATACAATGTAAATGGAATTAAAAACCCCATTTATTATTATTTAAAATAAAAGAAAGAAACTTTTATCTATTTTTGTAAAATAACTAAAACATTTTTATAAGTAAAAAATAAAAAATTTTATTATTTTTATAAAAAAAATAAAGAAAAAAATTTGAAAATATATTAAGTAAAAATTGACAAAAATTTGCGGAGTTTGACCACGGTAAATTTAAATCAACGAAATGCCAAATATAAAACACTGTGTATTTTATAAACACTTTTTGGCGTTTTTATAACCAACCATTTTAATTGATTCATAGTTAGGTTGTGATATTATTTATATTAAACTCTCAATGTATCAATGGATTATTTTATTGATTGCAAAACAAAAAATGAAGATAACTTTTTTAATTAACAATCCTCAAATTACAGTGCAATATATAGTAAAAAACACAATAAAAGAGAAACAACACTTACACTTACAACAATAAAATATCTATAATAAAATTAATGTTTTATTAACCTAATTTAATAAAAAGGGGGGTTTTATTTTTTGAAGCAAAAACATTTTCAATTGGAAGTCACTTCATTTTTAGAATTGTATTTCAAATGAATCTTTTGCCGATAAATCAATGTGAAAAAACTTAAAAATATTCATGTCACTTGCCTTTTATATATTCATAACTGTTTGTTTGCCAACTCTTTGTGTTGGTGCAATTTCAACACCAGTTTGTATGTCCGACTTTATGGCAGTTAATATGAATTCTGTAGATATTACTTATGACCTTATTTCTGATTGTTTTGCACTTATACCAGACAGTGCCTATTCCGTTCGTGGTAAAAATCTGAACTCCGATTGTTACATTGATAATCAGTACTTATACATTGACAAAAATGGGTCTAGAATTAGTCGTTGTGGGCAATGGCTTGAAGTGGTTGGTCCTACCAAAACCAAAGTGATTTGTATGGTTGCTGGGAGTGTAAAACCATTTTTTAGAACACTTCCATTTCAACCATTAATTACTTTTGTTGCAATGCACTCGGGGTTATACACACAAGTTTCTGGAGGGTTTTCTTTAGATACAAATGCAATTGTCCAAACGACAGTTGCAGAAACTGATTTTGACTTAAAAGTGAATCCAACACTTTGGGTTTTGAGTAAGACGGAGAAAGAGGCTAAAGTGCAGGTGACTGATTGTAACAGACCTTTTGAATTTCTCGAAATAGATAACAAAATATTTGGCATTCAACTGGACCACACTTTTACTCTACCAATTTATTCGACAAAGGTGAATATCAACTTGGTTTCTTTTAGATACGAAAAAATCACGTTTGAAGACGTTGAGTTAAATAACATATCAAAAATTGTTTCAAATAAAAGATTTGAGACATTACAAATTGAAAATTGTGAATTTCTGATGAGCGAAATATTATACACACAAGCCGACTATGTCAGACACCAACTCAACAGCTGGTTCTTTTATCAATTTGGAGACGTCTCTAATTTCACAACCGTAACTGCAAAACCACCAAAATTTGTACCTCAAAAGGGCGACAAGAGAATATCAATTATACTGATAAATTCAACACCAATGATCTTTCACGAGTATTTTAAGGATATCACATTTGACTTTGAAGCAAATTTCAATTTGGTGATTGGCGAAATTAATTTGTATCTTGTTCCTGGCGCGACCAACGTGAAAGACTTTACCAGAGCTCAATTGATTGAATCGAATTTGAAATACGTTATATATCAAAATGGAACAAAGGTTGGTCTCAAATTTGGGTTTGGAACGAATAATATTCAGTTTTCAAATTGCTTTGTCATCACTTTCAAATGCACTGAAGGACAATATGTGGAATTGACAAACGCGGTTTTTCAGAAGCTCGAAAAAATTCAGAAAATTAAAGAATGTAATGCAACAGCATTGAAATGTTTAGACAGTGAGTGCACGGTCACAAACACGTCAGTTGATGTTGGAAAATATTTATGGGAAAAGGGGTGTGAGCCCGTTTGTGGAAATTGTAGAGATGGATATGTGTGTACAACTATGGGAAAGTGTATTTTGGAAAAGAATGATAACTTGAGAGAGGGTGTTGAAAGTGTGATGGACTTTATGTTTTTGATTGTGGGTTTCGTTATGCTGTTTATAATTTAACATTCAAATTGGTTTTTATTTGTTTTTAATCTCCGAGTTGATAATTATTTTAAACTTGTTATAAAATTGATAAATTCAAGACTGGTACATTTTAGAATGTGATTTTTGGTTGAATAACATTGAATAAAATTTAAGTTAAGTCTGTCTAAAAACGTTGTTCATTTGACAAATTTTTACACAAAATAAGTTGAAAAATTTAGGAATTAGGTAAAAACGTTCAAATCCCAGTAAAAATTATGAAACAATGTTTTGGGAATGTTTCGAACTGTTTCTTGATTTATTTCAGTTTTAATGGTCCAAAAATGTCTTGACAACTTTGGAGAGCGGACAACGTTTTCAGACTGACTATATATTTTATTAAATTCAATATTGGTACAATATTATTTATATAAATAATAAACAACAACACAACAAAAACGGTACTTATAAAAAATCGTTTATCTTTTTCTCTCTCCTTTATCTACTATTTTGGGTTTGGTAACTGATTATACGGAGGCAATACACAGCGTTCAGAACCTTCATTTGAAATGTACCCTAGTGAGCACTTGTTGCAAAACGCATAACCAAATCGTGAAAATGTATTTGGAGGACAATTTGAACAAGGTTGTGATCCCCAATGTAACTTATAAGTTCCTGGAAGACATTTAATGCATCGAGTTCCTTGTGAATAATACCCAGGTTGGCAATTAAGAGTGGAAAAACACAACTGGAAAAACAGAAAGAATATTGTAACCATGGCCTTGATTTTTAAGATTATTATACATGAAAATACCATTGAACGTTTTTATTTTGTTGGTCAGTTTTTTTAAAATTGTTTTCATAATAAGAACACCGATTTTTGTCGAAGTTTTTTTTAATGAAGAAAATACATTATTTTATAATAATGTATTTTCATTATTATAAAAAATAATAAATATTATTATACATGTATTTACTTTTTAAATAATTTTTAAGTAATAACAAATATAATTATTCATTTTAATATGTGAAGCTTAGAATTATTAACTAAGAAAGTTTCCAAAATATTTATCCTAATTACCAACGTCACCATTTACAGTTGTGCCATTAAACCTTAGCCCAAAGAAAAACTAATTATTTTCTATTGTTATATTAAAATAATAAACTATACCTAAATAAAAGTCAATTTTCTAAAATATTTGTTTTTTTAGTAAAAACCCGTGTTTAAAAAAAAATATAGGAATTTCTTTGGGCTAAAGTACATTTCCTGGGCTAAGGTTCATTTTCCCTACTGTAATAACCAAAACGTTTGTTTATTATTATAAATTCGTACATTATAATACCACATTTTCGGCAATAATTATTTTGAAAATGCCTGTTACTTACTAAATTATTTAAATAATATAGTAAGTAAGTAATAATTTTATAGTTATTTTTATTGTATAAAAAATACTATTATAATAATTCTAATGTTAATAATTTAACAAATACAAATAAGAAATAAGAAATCAAAATTATATTATCCAAACTTAAGACCACCATCAGTCAATTGAAAATGATATCGTCTTGTATTTTTTAAATAAGAAAAACAAATAATGAGAAAAAAATTAAAAATTATATCTTATTGTTTAATGTTAGTCACGTTTTATCTCATGTTTATTTTTTACAATTAATTAAATTTTTTTGTTCACCATTTAACGTTTACAGACCAATTTTATTTGAAATTTAAAAAATGGAAATATATAATAAAGGTGTACAATGTTGAACACAAATACATATAATATTTTGTTGTTACCAGGCGACTTTTAATTAATTTCAAAATACTTTGATTTATTAATTTAATAAAAAGTCAGCAAACAATAGTTAATAGTACAGTCAAAGGCGTCTATTTGTCGAAATTAAAATTGTCGAACTTGCTTATTTGTCATACAAATGCCAATCATTTTGTGTACGACAATCAAATATTTTGTTCTCGAACTTGTAACTTTTGTTGAATTAAAAACTAAATTGTTTATAAAAAATAAATTTCAATATTAAAAAGAATTTTTTACAAAATTCACTCATTTACAACAAATAGACGCCTTTGATTATATTATAAAACCAAAACATTACTGCATTCAAAATAATAAATTTTTATTATGTTATATTAATTATTGACCAAATAAAAAAATACAATACATTACCAATATAATGACTCTTCATTCAAACTATTTCACTCTCTACAATGAATTCCATATAACTTATTATGTATTTGATTATTCTAATGGAATTGGAATTTCAATATACAAACTGAACTTTGCAATAGCATTTTGTTTCTCTTCAATTTGTTCTTCGATTGAAAAATCACTTTCTTTCTGTTCTTCCAACCCCGAATCGACTTTGTGTTGATCATTTTTCACTTGTGTGTTTTCTATAAGATCTTCTTTTGTATAATTAAACAAACTCCGATACTTCTCTACTCTTTCTAATACCTTTTTGGGTGCATCAGATATTTCTTTGACGTTGTTCTTCGTCTCACAAAGTAATTTTTTATTTGTTTTTCCCACCCAAAAAGTCGTGGGAAAAACATTGTCAAACACCAGAGAAATTGTATTATCATTTTCTTCAAAAACAACGTTCTTTATGTTTGGACACATCACAAACGAATTCTTCTCAACACTTGTCATTGTCGTTGTAAAATACATCAACTCAAGTTTTTGGCACCCACTGAAAGCATTTTGAAAAACATTTTGAACGTTCTTTGGAAATGCAATTTCCGTGATGCTGCGACAATTTTCAAAACACCTTTCTCCAATCGTTTGAAGAGTCTGTGGGAGTTCTATTCCTCTTAAATTAGAACAATTGGAAAACACTTCATTTTGAAGCTCTGGAAGATACTTTGGCAAAACCACTTCATTCAATTGACTGCAATCTTTAAAACACCCCTTTCCAATGTAACAAGTTCTGGAACTCAATGCAATTGTTTCAAGTTTTTTACACCCACAAAAGCAGTAGTCTCCTATAGATGTTAAATTGTCCGACAGCCTTATTGTACACAAATTTGTGCATGACGAAAAACACGAATTTCCAATTCGACTGATTGTCGAAGGAATCACAAATTTACATATTGAAGCGACTTGTTCAAAACAATCTTCGCCAAGGGAATGTACACCCTCTGACATCGTTCCATTGTACATCACTCGGTCTTCTTTCGTGTATTTGACATTCTTGTATTTCCAATTTTTGTTGTGATTATTCACAACAGTTGCATTATCGACTTCATACCAAATAGTGACCATCTTGTTCAACAAATAGTATTTGAATTTGACATTAAAATGCATTTCATCATAAACATTCACATTAGTGATGCGTTTGAACACTTTCCACGACGTTTTGTCATAAGGAATCGGATTAGCATTAAACCTCTCATTGTTATTTCTAAATGTTTTACACACAAATTCGCTGTTGATATAGTCTTGAACACTTTTGAAGTATTTTGAGACCTCGAAGAATTCATTTTGAGTCAAATGAGTGCGATACAACATCTCATTATAATCCGTCTGTCGTCTTAACCGTTCTATTGTCGCTTTCGTCTCGTTGTCTGCCTGACTGTAGACTTTATACTTTTGTTTCTTTCTTTTAAACTCTCCGGCTAAGTTCTTACATTTGTCGTTAATAACGTACACGGACTCACATTCACAGATGTCCCCAAACTCAATGACATCTCCATCGAAAAATACACTCCGTAATTTGGGGCACTTCTTAAAGGGGACATTCCCAAGTAATTTCACGTTCTGTGGGATATACACACACCGCAGATTTTTGCAGTTGTAATAACAATAACTGGGGATGGCAGTCAGGGCACTTGATAGAACAGCTTCTTTAAGCAAATCACAATTTTTGAAACAATACTCTCCCATTGAACTCACTGAATTGGGAAGTGTGATGTTCGACAGTTTCAAACAATTCTCAAAAACCTCTTTCCCCAGTTTTTTAAGAAATTTTGGGAGAACAACTCGTTGCAACCGAAAACAATTTTTAAAGCATTTGTCGTTAATAAAATAGACACTTTGTGGGAGTTCAATAGACTTGAGTTGTTTACAACCAGCAAAGCAATTACTCCCAATAGAAGTCACACTGTTTCCTATAACAATGTTACTCATACTATAACACCCATCAAAAGTTTCTGTCCCAAGCATATTAATGAATGGCGGCAGAATAACTTCTTTCAGTTTGAAACAATTTTTAAAGCACTTTTCTCCAAGGAATATCACATTTTGAGTGAATTTTATGGTTTCCAGCTTTTGGCAGTCCTCGAAACAACCATTTCCTATATATGTCAAATTGTTCGACAAAGTGATATTAACAAGATTTTCACATCCTTTGAAACATGACTCCCAAATACGTTGTATGTTGTTTGGTATAACCAACTCAGTGATTGTTAAATTTTGACTAAAACACATCTTGCCAAGGGACTTGACTTTGTTTGGTATTGGTAGACCGAACGTTGCAAAATCTTGTGCTGTGAACTCGACGTTGGAATATATCCATTTTTTATTTTTGTTGTTATAAAAAGAAGTGTATGTTGTTGGGTACATATAATTGACTTTCAACAACTTTTTGTTTGAAAAGAAAGAGATGGCTTCTTTAAAATAATACGTTGTGTAAACGTTGAACGTTTTAATGTAAGCAAAGATTTTTAAATTTTGAGGTGTGAGTGGTATAGGGTTTGAAATAAAGTTTGTGTTGTTCTCGCGACACTTCTTACACACCATCTCGATGTTGAAAAAATCAGAAGTGTTTTTGAAGTATTTGGAAATTTGGAAAATGTCGCGAGATGTTAAACAACTCATTAATTTCTATTTTTTAAGTTTTTTTTAATTTTTTTCTCATTTGTATATTATATAGTTTATAATAAATAAATTGTAATTTGTAGTATTTTATTATTATTATAATAAATATTATAATAACTTAATAAAAAAGTCTAATTAAAAAAAGATACAAAAAAGTTATTTTTGTAAATTATTTTATTTATTTTTAGACCAATTCTTTAAATAGAAATATACTTTTTTATATTTTATTTCTGTTTTTAAACTTTCTCAGACAACCACAGTCAGGCACTTACCAATTTTTATTGAATATATGCCTTAAACCAGTCTTTTAAAATACCGATTATAACGGTAGGTCTATTAGGAAATAATTGGAAACAACAATTTTCCCTAAAATTGTTTTAAAATTGTTTTTAGAAGTAAATAATACCACATTATCGTAATTGTCGCCAAGTAAATTTATATAGTTAAGTTTCATAATATAATAACAATAAATTGTTTTTTTAAAAACTATAATTTTATAATTTTAATTATTAATGTAAAAGGTATTTGCTAAAATCCCAAAATGTTATTTTTACTATAAATTTTTGTTATTATCACATTAAAAAATATATTTACTGTAATAAAATTAATAAATTTACTATTAAATAATTATATAAACCATAATTATCATTTTTCTTATGCTCAAATCCGAATAGAATGAACAAGAATTGATTCATTTGACACAACGTATCGAAGCCGTGGTTGTTGTTGTGTGTCTCTTTTGAACTATACAAGTGTTAAGTGGTTTTCATTACTTTCCACACCCACCATTTGATTCATTTTTTGAAACAAGTTATAGTATAAATTATAATAATTTTATTAATGATATTGGTAATTTTATTCTTCTTTATAAAAGTATGTGCTTAAATCCCAAAATGTTACATATATTTACTGCAATAAAATGAACAAGATAGTCCATCAAATAGTAAGAAAGTTGTTGATAATCATTTTTTATAATTAGTGAATAAAAGTATAAAAACACATTTAAGATAAACAACACATCAACTTTCACTTTGGCATCATGTCTTCTTAATAACGTATTGGATTGATAACAGTCATTGTCTCCATGATGTTTTCAACATTTTTATTAAAATGCACTTTTGGGCAAGCATTTTGGCTGGCGGGAAAACCGCTTCACTACCATTTACTTGTTTTATTGTATAGAAGAATAACGTTTTTTGGCATTTTGCCGAGTTTTAAAATAAAAAATAATACGGTGGCGAAAAACCACTTTAGATCTTTTTTGTATTTTAATAACCAAATTCTTATTGTTTTATGATGAAAACTTATCCAATAACCAAATATTGCCCTTTTAAATTGTGAAAAAATGGGGTGTTTTTTCTCGGCATACAAATATTTTTTAACCAAATGTATTGAATAACACACAAAAACACACAATAAACTTGAATTTATTCACCATACAGAAATGATTGCCGCACTTTCGGATCGTCCACAGTATCCTCCCAGTCTTTTTTAACATTTCTCTGCACGGCGGGAAAAACCGCTTTACTACCATTTACTGATAAAATTCCACACAATTATAACCAAAGTTTTAATTTGCCTCAAATAATTGAGGTTTTTGTGAAAAAAAGCAAAAAACTCGAAAAATTCTAACGGACATGTGCAGCGCCCTTTTACCGCTTCTGATAATTTACACCAAATTATCTGTTTTACACCGTTTTTATTGACCAATGCTAAAAATTGTTTCGTTTATTTTATAAAAAGTTTCAAAAAAGCAAGTACAACGAATAAACGAGTCATTTATCGCTTGCTTGACAGGAACTTGAAAAACCGCTGGTTATGGATGCACTCACGTTCAGTTGGTGAGTAAATCCAAAGTGCGTTTTTTAGTTTGGCTTTGAAATGCATTTCTGAGCGAATGAGGAATCCAACAAGAGGGGGTGTGAAATAAAGGTGCAGTCGGTCTTTGCTGAGAGACGTTGAAAAGTGGTCATAGTAAAACACATGAAAGTTGATTTATTTATTATGTTGCTCGAGAGGTAATTGATTTGACTGTTGAGTATTTGTTTAATGGATGATTAAAAAATGAAAAAATTATTAAGAAGTGAAAGGGGGTGTGAAAAAAGGTACACTCGCGGGTTAGTGTTTTTGAGTTTTTTATTTCTGCAAAAAATTGAAAAAATATTAAATAAAAAGTTCATTATTTTTTCACTTAATTAAATTAATTTTAAGATGTTTTTTTTGGTTATTTTGGCTTCAAAGAACAGTTTCGAAGTCAATCTTTCTTGCTCCTCCTTTTATCATTCGGCAAATCCAGCCTTTACTTTACATAAAAAAAATTCACAAATTTCAATAACAAACATCGGCATCTTGAAAAAGTAATAGATGTTCTTGTAAACCTTGTTTTTTGAATCAAATCGAAAAAAAGGAAAAGAATAAACTATACAAAAAACTATAATCATATTATCATTTAACCATCAAAAGCGGTTTTTTTCAGAGGTTTCCAAAATAAAGATGCTAATTACCTCGTCACCATTTTATCACCAAAATGTTCATTTTCTCTTATAAATTCGTACGTTATTATACCACATTTTCGGCAATAAATATTTTGAAAACGCCTGGTTTTTTTCCTGAAGCGGGTTTTCCACTTTTTTACAAATGATAAAAAATGCTTCAATGGGTGTTTTATTATTTCTCAAATAGAGTCTAAACAAAAAAGAAAAGATTTTTTTACTTAGACAATTTAGACAATTGTTCGATCAATTGTTGAATTTGTCTATCTTTCTCTTCATTGATTTCTTCCATTCTTTTTATTTTCTCATCAAATTCGTTCTTTTGTGATGCAATGGTTTTTTCAAGTTGATTTATACGATTCTGTAATATATGAACTTGGTTAAAATCAATACCGTTTTCATTGTTTTCTTTGTGTTGTTTTAAGTTTTCATTTGCTTTTTCTAACTTTGCGTTCAAAATGTCAATAGTATGTTGAAGATCTTTGTAATTGTTCATTCTGTCAAATACAGTTTGTGCATCGAGTTCGTTTTGTTCACTTAGTGTTGTGAACTGGAACATCATCTCTCGCATTTCATCGTTTTGAATTACATTGAAAACAATTTCTCTTTTCATATTAAACGACTTTGTAAACATATCTTCACTTTGGAATTCTTCTGTGCTGAAAATTAATGTCAAAATTTTTTTCAGTTTTTCATCCGTTTTACACGACTCTAAATTTCTGGAATAAAATGCCATTATCATCTCGTCTATTTTCCCACAAATACATTTCTTTGACATTACTTTCACTTTATTCTCTGTCAGAAGTTCATCGAAAAAGACGCGTTTGTCTAATATATTTTGTTTCTCTGATTTGTAACAACACGATTTGTTGACATCAAGCAAACACATCTTGTCTTGGAAAACAACAAAAGTTTCGGCTTTTTCGTCATCAACATAAGAGAGTTGTGTTAAAGTCATTGAGTCTCCATTCAAGTTAATTCCTTGTGCATTTCTTGTTTTATATGAAAGCTTTAAAACATCTTTCAACAAGTCAAACTTTTCGTCTTCGTTTCTCATTGGCCCAAGTTTTGCATCAAACGTTCTCATATTAAAACCATTCCCAAGATTAGTACAAATGTTCTCAATATATTTAGTTGTAGCATTTTCCCACAATTTAGTGTCAAGAACATCAATTTTTGTTAGTTGGCAGTTACCTCTCAATTTCTGTGCAATTTGGTTGACACTTCTAATTTTATTTGTGTAGAGTTCGTCGTTCTTTGGTCTCATTAAAACAACTTTGTTAACTACTACAAACACATTTTTATCACTCATACTTCTCCCATTAATTAACGCATCAATTTTTACAGAATAGTCGTTGACGCTTTGTGTTTTTCCAACATCGAAAGTGCATTCTTTGTCCAGTAAAACCTCTTTTGTGTCAACGCCAAAATTCACAAAATCGATCGACCCAAATTCTTCAGGTACTCCCAAGTCCTCATACACTTCACCAACTGCTTTGAACTTTCCTCTTTGGTTTGGAATGACTTTAAAATTATTAAATTTGGTTTTAATAATTTTACTTGCATTTGTCAGTAAATCTGAATACATTTTAATGGAAATATCAAAAGTGTCTTTCACGGCGTTCCACGTCTCTTTCGTTTCCATAACTCTCATCACAATTTCAAATACAAATTCGTCGACACAATTCCAACTTCCGTATTCAAATTCATTGCATTCCTTCATCTCCTTCTGTCCGTAAATTTTCGGGAAATTCTTCTTACACATCCCAAACACAAATCGTCTTAATCTGATAAACTCTCTATCAAATTTGGCCTCATTTGATACTCCAATGGAAATGAGTGGTGCAACACTTTTTAAAAACATTTCGTCGACATCACTCTGTAAAATTTGACGCCCATTGTTTTTAAAAGCCTCCTTTTTGAACTTTTTTTCCTTTCCCAACATCTTTTGAAGTGTCTTTTGCCTCGTTCTTATTCAAACTGTTTTGTGCGGTTATTGCTATTTTAGCAACTCTTTCGTCTATTCTCCCACACATTGATTGATTGGACTCAACTTTGGCTTTGGAGAAAACAATTCGTTTGTCAAGAATGTTACTTTTGATATTGTTTTCATCCATGTCGTTTAAACAATCTATAATTTCATTTGAAACAGAACTACAGTTCCAAATTTCAAATTTGGAATTTTCATTGTATGTCATGAAGTCACCTTCCAAATTGGGTAATATCCCAATCTCATTCAGTAATTTTGGATTCACTTTAATAACAAATGCGATCAATTTGTTCATAAAAGAGAATTTTTTGGTGTCGATCATGTTCAGTTCATTCACATTTTTAAGAGCACTGATTTCCTCTAAAGGGTTTCTTGAGGATAAGGTGTATCCTCAGGACAAAAGCTATCCTTATTAAAAAATATTTTTCTGAGGATACAAAAAACAAATCCATAATGTTCAGTTCCCCATAAGGCCCACTTTCATAACTCAAGTTATAATTTACACTTAATATTTCGAGTCAAAGTTAAATTTTAAATAATGGTAATAATTTGTCATAAATGCCAAAAAATTAAAAACAATCAAAAAATCGTTACGATAATCAGTAAACAAAAACAATAATTATATCTCGCGAACTTGAGACGGGAAATAACAAAACATGAATTAAACGTGTTCATATTATGATTGTATACTTATTGAAATTATTTTCGAATCCGTCTTTATAACATAATAATTAAAATTTACATTTAAATTGTTAATTGTTTTTTTAATCGAAATGAAAATTGAAAAAGTCGAAAACACTGATTTAATAATAATGCATTTTTTAAAAATAACAAATTTATAAATATTTTTGAAATTTATGCAATTATTCAAATTTATTATAAAAACAAAGTTAATCATATTGTGTATATTTTAATATGATTGTTTCATTTTGATATTAACTTGTGTTTTAAACGAATTTACAGTTCTGAGGATGGCAATTATTTTCTGAGGATGACAGAAATAGAAAGTTTACACTTTTACATCTATCTGAAATGTATATTGAGTAAGTTACTATTTTTGAATATGGGAACACGTCATTTCACTTTTTAGATGTTTAAGTCCGTGTTGATAATGTTTGTTTGTTACACGACTTACCATCCTCAGAGATATTTATAGCACTGCCACTTCTGATTTAAAATTCTATAAATAAAATTATCAAAGAATTTTTATAAAGTGAGTTTTGTTAATTGATTATATCAAAAATCGTCAAAACACAACAAAAACGCCAAATAATATATAAAATTGATTATTGAATTAAAGATGCATTTATTGAAATTAATATTGTATTAAATAAAATATTAATATAAAGGGATTCATGAGGATTGTTAATTTTTCTGAGGATGGTAAATATCTTAAACATAATTTCTTTCAATTTAGATTTTTTTACTTAAGATCAAAAAGGTATATTTTGAAACACATGATTTTCTTTAAAAATGCTATTTATGGATTTTTTGAAAGATGATTCTTTCAGTTGATTTTTACAAAAAAATAATCTACTTCTATTTTTTGATTTACCACAAGACTAACCTTAGTTTAAATGTAAACATTTGACAGACATTTAAATTATCGAAAAAGTCGATTTTTTTCATCAAAATCACAAAACAAATTAATCGAACAATTTTTAATCTTTTTTACAAAAAATACAATTTATTATAAATCAATTCATGATATTTCAAACAATTCAATTGATAGCAATAAACGTATTAATAACGTATACTCTATGCGATGACAATTTATGTATTTGCGCAAATTCAAAAAGAGAGGTTTTGGATATCGATGAAACAACGATTGATAAATAAACAAATTTTTAAAATAAAATCATTTTTGTTTTAAACGGTTTTATTTA